ATATTTAGAAAAAGAACCAAATTTCTGTAGCACCAAACATGTATAGACTTTTTCTTATTACTCCCTAAATAATACAATGCAGCACAACTTTTTTGCTTGTTTTTGTTTTTTGAGACAGGTTTTGCTATGTAGTTCAGACCTGCTTTGAACTTACTGTGTATCCTAGGCTGACCTTAAACTTGTGGCTATCCTCCTGCCATGCCCCCCAAGTGCTGGGTGTACACCACCATGCTTGGCAACACAATTATTTGGATGGCATTTACATTACATATTATAAGTACTTGAGAGTATTTAAAGTCTATTAAAAGGGTGTCATGTAGGTTATGGAAATACTATGTTTTATTTGTTTACTATGCCATCTTACATAAACGATTCGAGTATCTGCAGAATTTGGTATCCTTGTCGATCCTAAAAGGAATTTCCCACGGATAGCAAAGGTTGACTATACAACTATCCTCATTTTACAAATGAAACTGAGTTAGAGTGAGCTTAATGCCAGGACTTAACCCTATACTCCACTGCAGCTCTCTGAAGTCATCTACCTTTGGACCCTATAATTCTCCAGGTTGTAGCAGGACAAGCTTCAGCTCCCTCTACCCTTCCTGCCTCAATGCTTTCATCACCTTTACTACTTCACTACAGAAAATCTCAAGTGACAACTTTTAATCCCCCAGCAATCTCCCTGCACCTTGAATCCTCCCCTATAGCCCCGGACCCTGGGTCCCCAAAGTCCTACCCCTGAAGTTCTGTGGTTGCTAGTCACCAATTGCCCTCTGGGACTGCCAGATGAAGCCCATCTGTGAGTCAGAGGAAGAGTCCAAGAAACTGAGCCTCTGGGACAAACTGCACTGCACCACCAGCAAGCCCAGGATTTCGAGGGACCTAGGGCTTCCTATTAATCTTCCCCCTCCCATATGTGTCTTGGCTCCTATTTGGCTCTGATTTGTCCTCTGAGCCAGACACTCTTCCTCCTTTCCTATCTTCCTCGGTTATAAACTATTCTAAGCACAATTTATATAAAATTCTCCTCTTTTTCCCCTGAACAGCCAGAGTTCAGGTGGTAGGTGACCAAGGGAAGCCAACTATAGTTCCCTAGAAAGTCACAGGTCAAGTAGATGGTGGGCTGGAAGCAGCTTTCTGATCTAGGTACCATTCTTTATCCTTTGGAAATAGACATTTCCTGCATTCCTACAATCATCTGGAAATCTCTGGTCATACTTTGTTTACTGCTTATCAGTTTTTCTTAGAAAGCCAGTACCGTAAGTCCCTGACTTATGAATATTTGAGTTGTGAGCTTTCACAGGTGTACTATATAAGACTCACCTTGTTAGATTTATAAGGAACAAATCCTACTTCATGAACATTCTCCCAGAATGGAATTTGTTCATAAGTGGAGGACTCACTGTAATAATTATAAAGCACTATTCAGTCTCAATACCTAATACTGTGGGATGAGAAGGTATGCTTAAAAGACGATAGCCTGTTGACCAATCAGAACTTACAGATCCCTAATGATCGCTTTAGAATAGTTTATTAAGGTCACTACCCGAGGCCAAATCCTGGCCCTATCAGCTCCTTTCAAATAATCTTGAGTTTCTTTTCTTATTTTTTCTTAATGTATTTAGTACAAGGTCTACAGGGTCTTACTACACAGATCAGACTCATAGTGACTATCCTGTTTTCAACCTCCCAAGTACTGGGATTACAGGCATGTGCCAGCATGTCCAGTCTTAATCACTGTCTCAGCAGGCCCTGGGGGAAGGGCCAGCATGGCAGGCCAGCAATCGAACCCCTGGCCCCTGCATCTGCCTAAGCAGGGCCTTGGGCAAGTTTCTTAATGCTTCCCCATCTATAAAACAGAAATGCTCTCACCCAGGCACAGTGCTGCATACCTGTAACCCCAGCACTCTTGAGGCTGAGGGAGGAGGACCTCAAGTTTGAGTTTAGCATGGGAAACTCAGTGAGACCCTGTCTTCAAGATAACTAAAAAGCCAGGCATGGCAGTGCATACCATAATTTGAGCACTTGGGAGGCTAGGGCAAGAGGTATGCTTTGCGTTCATAGCAAGCCTGCCTACACAGGGAGTTCAAAGCCAGTATGAATTAGTGAGATCTTGTCTCAAAAAAAAAGGAAAGATTAAAAAGGCTACAGACATAACTCAGTGTAAAAGTCCTTGGTTTAACCCTCAGTACCACAAAATAATAAAAACATGATGAGACAGGCGTGAGGTACACCCCTGTAATCCGAGGATTCAGGAGGTTGAGGCAGGAGGATCAGGGCAAGTTCAAGTGTAGCCTGGGCTACAAAATGAGCTCAAGGCCAGCCTGAACTACAGAGCAAGACCCTGTTTCAAAAAGACAAAACCAAACCAAACCAAAACACAGATGATGGTATTCCCTATTTCAGACGTTTGTTGCAAAAATTAAGACATACCAGTAAATGCCCTTAGCTCACTTCTAGATAAGCACTCGATGGCCTCTAGAAACTACTTTTTGTTACTTTAATAAAAATTGTGAAAATCATAAGGTCACTGAGCCTGGTTGCTATACTGTTGGGTTGTTTTAGTTTTTTTTGTTGTTGTTGTTTTTTTGTGGAACCGGGGATTGAACCCAGGCCCTTGTGCTTGCCAGGGAAGCGCTTATTCTACTGAGTCATCTCCCTGGCCCCCTGGTTGCTATATTGTATGAAAACTTCATTCCTCTGGCTGAACCATTTTTAAGTTAAACTAATACTTGAGGGACAGAAGATGTGTCACTACAGAAGACACACAGAAAAAAACACATAAGCCCTAAACCAACTGTACAGGGTGTCATGCAACCCCACAGGATCACAGCATCATTATGTGGTTTTTAGTGATATTCTTCACTACTCAGCTGCACAGTACTTGAACAGACTGTGAAGCCAACGGCCAAACGCTGTAGAGGGGAGGGTGCACTTGTGTGCTAACTGCCTCCTGTGCCTGCCACAGTCTAGTCTAATCCCATAAATACCAGATGTTCCACTCACTTGTGGGATGTGGCGAGTGAAACACAGTGATTATCAATAAGGGTATTTAACCTACTTCTGTGAAGACAGGTGTTTTATTATTAAGCAGACATGTAAGTTTTCTTATGCATTAAATTTGGGCTTATGTTATTTCATTTTAATGTTATAATGAAAACATAAAGAAAATTCTGTTATGTGATATGTTAATTATATGTTATAGATGGCCCAACACAATTTCTCTTCACTGGTATGATCCAGGCAAGCCAAGACCAAATATCCACATCTTAAAGGAAATTCTAAAGAGGTGCTCCTTGGGCTGGTGAGATGGCTCAGTGGTCTAAAGCACCTACTTAGAACAAGCTAAGCTACGCAAAGCCCAGGGACCGCGGTTCAATCCCCCAGCACCACATGCCAGCCAGCCCCGCCCCCTGGTGGGCTGAGCTGGCCACACACACACACAAAATAAAGAAATAAATAAATATTTAAAAAAAATAAAAAATAAAGAGGTGCTCCAGCCACGCCACATCAAGGGAGAGTAGCCACAAGACACGAGTGTCCTGAGGCGTTTAAAATAGTCACAGGCCTTGTGCAGGTACAGTGGCACACACCTATCTCAGGAAGATCAAACTTTCAAGGCTACCCTGGGCTGAAAACAAACAAAACTAGTCACAGGCCTATAGTTTGTGAAGTCTAGGGATAAATTCACTGGACCCTGCAGCTAGAAACTCTATGTCCCATCAGCAAGCGCTACCTTCCAACTTGATATGCTATGTTACTGAGCCGACTCACTCTTGCAGCTTTTGCCCAAGTTGTTCACACTTAGATCTTCATCCTGTCAACCTCAAATCCCTACTCTGCAGGGCTCAGAGCCAGAATGCTAGAAAGACTCCTAAGGAAACCCACAAAACTCATCTACAGAACTGTAACACTGAAAGCTAAAAACTGACAGCTCTCTTGGGCAAAATCCAGAAGAGCCAAAAGGATCTGCGATAGCATCAATGCAGAACTGAGTCTAAGCCTGTGCACTCCATGTACACATTCAGAAAGCACAGGCAAGTGGGAAAGAGCTCCCAACAGTCATAAGGTTAGCCAGAGGCACAGATAGCGGGGCACAGAAGCTCCCCATACTAAGTACCTATTTTAACCAAATGCAGAGTAATTCTGAGGTTCACAAAAGGAGATGGCATAATTCTTCACAGCTCCTTTGCTGGCTGTGATAATCTTTCTCAGTCCCAACCATAACATTACAAAGTAAGTACAGGCAAAACCATGGAAAATACTGTATTTATGTGTATAGGAAGGACAGCCGCAGGTCTTCATGGTGGAAATTCTACCCCAAAGAAAATCTTAGCAGGAACTGAGGATATAGCTCAGTGGCAAAAGTGCCTGCCTTGTAAATGCAAGGTCCCGAGTTTGATTCCTGGTACCCACCCCCACCCCCACCACCACTACCAAAAAAAACACCCACAAAAAACTTAGCAGCAAATTCATCTCTCTCCCAGTATAGCCCAGGCTGGTAAATTGAGCTTTTTATCTCTGGACATCCATTAGACCTTTCCCACCAGAAAATTCCAAATAAGACAGGAAAAATTCCTTCCAGAACTGAGGTCCAATGGGAGCCTATTTCCTAGGGAACAGACAGTGACTGTTTTGAGGGTCAGACTGTAAGTCATGCTGTGGTTCCTCTCTAGGCTCTATGGCCTGCTATGTTGACAGTTGGCAGTATGACGGGGACCCACTAGAGGGACTGGATAGAAGATAGCCATGGGTTCTTAGGTGCACACATACACACACAGGTGTAAGAGGGAAATGGTTGTTTTCCTTGTGCTTGATGTCTCCATCTGCCGTCCTCCCGCTGACAGCACCCTGGTACTTTGCACCTACATTTCTTTCTGTGGCTAAGGATCTAGAAACTAGAATCACTGTGGTTCGGCAATGTGGAAAAGGTAACAGCTGTCCCAGGGGAGTAAAAAAGATGACTAGATGACTGGTTTACTCCAATCAGACATCCTTGATTCTTTCCCCAATTAGATATCCTTGATTCTTTTTTTTCTTTCTTTTTAAAAAAACAATCAGCTGGTGACAGAAATGATGGCTCTAGAGTGATGTCATCCCAACTCTGTTATTGCCCTCAAGAAGTCCCTTTCCTGACCTTCTAATACTAAGGTTTCAGAAACAAAGGCCATTCTTGCAGCTGTGATCCTCACGGCTACCTGCCTACTTGGCAGGATCCTGCTATCTCTCCATTAACAGAGATTCCATATCTCCAGGGTTCCTTTCAGCCTCGGGCTGGACCTCATCTGGAGGATCTGAGCAGCCCAAGGTGTCAGGGGTCCCAAGTGCCAGCAGAGCGTCCGAAGGGCCCAATTCTACACATTGGACTTAGGGGCTGAGTTGAGGGGAATCTCCTTGAGCTCCGTCCGCATACACAGGTACTCCCCGATGACAGCCATGAGTGCAATGCACACGGCTTGGACCAGCCACCAGGTCAACGCCGAGGGAAAACGGGAGCTGTAGAACCAGCAGCCCAGGAGGTGAAAGAAATGGACAGTAACAGTGAAATCCAGACACTGCTTCCCGCGCCGGATGAAGTACAGCAAGCCCAGGGCACTGTAGGGGAAAGGATAGCAGCGAGTTGTCACTCGATTGTCCTGACCTTAAAATTCGGTTACCTGGGTGGTAGGGACAATTAGGATGAGAGCAGAATAGTCAGAAGTGAGCAAGATAAGTATGAAGCCAGGATTACAATATCAGATGCCAGAGGAACCTGGCAGGCAATGTTAAGAGTTAATCATTGCCTGGCAAGCGCAAGGGCCTGAGTTCAATCCCCGGTTCCGCAAAAAACAAAAAAAAAAAAAGAGTGAATCAGACTGAGCAAAAGAAAACAAAAGTACAAGCTTGATGATAATTATCAAGTGTGACTCAAAGGAACTGTAGGGATTGGGGGTACCTTGATGACACACAGGTTCTAGTTAAAATGGTGACAAGCTACTAGCATCTAGGCAAATATTATTATAGAAGGTTGCCCTAAAATTCTTAAAAAATGGTCAACAAAAGCCAGAAATTTGGACTTTTATAAAATATACTGACCTTCAACTAGCTGAAAAAAATGTTTAAAAATCTTAATATGAGCTTGCTTTGAGAGTACATATACTAAAAAAAAAATTGGAGCAAGGCCCAATTTTAGCATGGCCCTTGTACAAGGATGACATGCAAGTTTTTGAAGTGTTCCACATATTTTAAAAAACTACACATGAGTCCAGGCATGGTGGCACATGCCTATAACCCTAGCATGGGGGAGGCTGAGGCAAGAGGATTGCCATGAGTTCAAGGCAAGCCTGGGCTACATAGTGAGACCCCGTCTCAAAAAACAAAAGCAAAGAACCCAAAATCAAAACTCATGCATAAACATCTGTATATGGCGAACAGAACATACCTGAGAGACAAATTTAGGTCAAAATTAGCCCACCAATTTTTAGCCTTCAATTTGAGATCAAGAATAGGCATTATTCTAAGTACTTCCTGTGAACTGATATTTAATCCCTACAACTACGAGGCAGGTGACCTTACTGGCTGCTCCACTTTACTGACGAGAAAACTGGAGCTCAGAAGGATTAACTTGCCCAAAGTCAACAGAATAATGGTAAAATTGAGATTCAAAGCCTACAGTCTTTTTCAGCTTGAGATTTTGATCATGATGCTAAAGTGCTTCTCAAAAGAGAGGCCATGATTATGAGTAACCTTAGACATTGCCTAGTCCTACACTTAGTGTATAGATAAGGAGCCAGAGCCCAGAGAGGAAGGAAGTGATTCAGAGGGATCAAGATTAAAAGCAGGTTTTCCTGACTTCCAGCCTAATCTTTTTCTCACATCATGCCATGTTAGGGAAGTGATCTGAGATGGATGCTCTCATGCAGGCAGCACACACATAGTGACAGAAGAGCTTTGCAGCTAAGTTACAACAGCAATGGAAGCAGTCCCACGATAGAGCCTGTCTCCTCTGCCACCCACTGTATCTACCACTCTTCAGGAACAGGCACAGGCACTGGCTAGCTCATGTCCAAATTTAGAAAGTCCCACTTGTAAGACCCCAAAAGCTAGACAGTAAAACCAGCGGTACTCACCAGGTGAGGGCATTGAGGATGAAGGACATCATGGATAGCCGGCCTGGAGGAGTGGAAAAGCCCAGGATCTGAGGGAGAATCACAGATGGAAACATGCTGGAGATGTCACCTGGTAGAGCAAGGATTCCAGGCTGCAGGATCCCAGCATGCCACAGAACACAGAAGACAAAAGACCTTCATGTGCATGGCTGCCTATATCTGTCTGTCTGTCTGTCCTCTCACTTCCTCTCCAAGGCACTTTCATGAATACCCATTGTAGTATTTCATCTAATCCTCAGAGTAGGTGAAAGGGTAGTCTCATTTTGAGGATGACATAAAACCTCAAGTTGTTGCCCAAATGATACAGTAAGGAAATAGCAAGAGTATGTAACATCTAGAAGGCTATTCACCAAGCTATGGCCCCACTGACCAGACACTGTGCTTTTGTAAACAAAGTTTTATTGAACATACCCCACAATTAGTCACTTATTTCTTGTCTATGGCTGCTTTTGCACTACAATGGCAGAGTTGAGTAGCTGTGACCTAAAATCTTTACCATTGCCCTCTTCAGAAAAGTTCTGTTGAATTCTAGCCTGGATCTCAGGTTGCGTACATTAGATGGTTTCTCCAACATAGTCTAGAATTTCCACATGCCCTTCCTAGGAGGAAAGAAGCTCCTATGAGGTTACTACTAAGCACTGGGACATATGCAAACTTCACTACCCTTGATGATATTACTGAATACCAATCATCTGTACCACACTTCCAATTTTCAGAGAAAATCCTTTGACATCCATAATCTCTTATTATCCTTACAAAAATCGATTAAAGCTTTTACTCTTACTACTACCACCTCTTTTTGAGTAACCACTTGCCCAGGGGCCATGCAAAGAATAAGCATCAGGAACGAGGACACGATCCCGGGTATCCTGGCTCCATCAACTATTCTTTACCATTTACCACAGCTACCTTTCACATGTAACAACTTCTTAAGCCTGTTGTACTTTACACAGTACTTTTTCATTCCTAGGTCCCTGCGAGCCTCATAACATTTACAGAGGGTGACTGAGAAAAAGAATTTTGTTCACTTTCCAAAAGAGTTCTAGGCTCAGAAAGGTGAAGTAACTTGCTCAAGTTCCCGTATTTACAGTAGTGTGTTTAAGCCTGGTTTGGGACCCTAAACGCAGGCTTTCTACACCACTTCTCTCTGTTCCCAGTCCTATGATTTTGTATACAGAAAAACAGCAAGAAAAGTGTTGTTAAACACCTGCCCCACATCACACAGCAAGAAGAATGGAAGGAACTTAAATGGAGGCCTGCCAGCCTCATCCCAAAGCCCGACTGTTTCCACTGGATCCCCATGAATGCCCTCTTAGCCACACCTATTCCCAATATGGACCCTGAGTATCTGGACTCAAAGAAGTGAAGCTGCTTTCCCAAATTCAGAAAACAGAAGTATAAGAAAGTATAAGAAAGAGTTGGCTGGAATGCAAGCTAGCTTAACATGTAGACCCTTCCCTTTGCACTCATCTGCTTGTTACAAGTGTTTCCATGTTACAGATGAGGCCGCTGAGGTTTAGAATAGAGAAATCAGGCCCATACAGCGAAAACATGGCTCAGCTCGTTCCGGAGCGCAGTAGTGTCACACAACAGCCTACACAGTGGATCAAGACCCCACCTCCACCAGCCCAGTGCCCCTACCTCCGCGTCGAAAATCTGGTCCAACGAGGGGCTGCTTCGCACCAGAGCATCCACCAGGGCCAGCCACAGACCCAGCGAGCCATAATAGACAGTCTGCATGAGGACGATCTGCGACAGGATCAGCAACGGGTCCCACACGTAGCTACGGAACTGGCCCGCCATGCCGGCCCAAGGGGCCTGGCCACCGCCTGCGTCTCAGCACCGCCTCGCCATGGGCCCCGGCTCGTCCGGCCACCTGCTGGGACAGCGTACCAGCTGGGCAAAAGCCCGCGCCGGCCGTCGCCTTGACAACGCAACCCCGCCCGGGGGGAAGGATTGGGGCTGAGGGGCGAGCCCATTCCGGGAGCTGAGGGGAGGATGGAGCGGACAAACCATTCCCAGAATGAGGGGAAATCGGATCCATTAGAGCCGCTCGGCCCTCGCCGTACACTGGGGTTCACTCACCAGCGTCTGAATCGAGGATGCAGCGTCCGAGCCCGACTCGGCCTCACCGGCTAGCTTCCCAAACACTGTTAACAGGTCAGACCATGGAGGAGAGACCCGAACAGCCTAGAGAGGCAAAAGTCTGACGACCCGAGGGGCCGAGGCGGTTACGTGGGTAGGAAGCGTTTCCGGGGAGGCGGCGTAGGGCCAGACTGATAATGCGCAGGCGTAGTGGGTGCTGCTTAGGCTGCCGGGAAATGAGTGTGCGCATGCGCAGAATGAAAGGTGAAGGCGCACGGAAGCGAAGCAGAAAATCCGTAGCGCTTGCGTGCCCTCTAGAGGGGAATGGGGTTGGGGGGAGGGCGGCGACGAGAGAGAGGTCGTGGCCGTCTACTGTGGCTCGCTGGCGAGGGTGGTAGGTCTGAGTTTTAACGAGATGACAAACGCTGCCGATTTTCAACTTAGACTACCTATGCTTTCTCTTTCTCCTAGTGAGGGTTTCTAAAAGCTTTTCTACATATTATTTTGCCACTGACCATGTTATACAGATGATTAATCTAAGTGGCCACGAAGGGAAACCACATATTGACCCTGAGGCAGAGTTAGTGGACAGTCAAGATTAGAATGCAGGGGTTTCCAAACATTACAACGTTGATTTCTCGCCGGCTGGGTGCTGGGAAGGTGAGAACACTTGGGACAGTCCCTATCCCCAGACACAACGTCACCATATTACATATAAGAGCAGTGGGTGTTTTATAAAGTCTGTATCCGGCTGGGCGTGGTGGCACACACCTGTAATCTCGGCACCTTGGAGGCTGAGGCAGATGGATCGCTGCGAGTTTGAGGCTGGTCTGAGCTACAATGTGAGCTCAAGGTCAGCCTGCACCGCAGAGCAAGACCCAAACTTTAAAAAGTGGGTATCCAATGAAAAAAGCGCAGGTTCTAAAATCAAACCCGAGACCATGATTTTGTTAGCTCTGCCTTCTCTAAGTCTCAGTAGTGGACAGTCAGTAAATATTTGCCGAGTGAGTCAAGAACAGAAAAAGGATGACAGCAAACTGATGACATTTTATTACTGTTCCAGGAGGCCCACACTCCTCATTTCATTGATGCTGGGTCCCTCTTCTCTGGAAGCATTTGATTTTAGCAGGGGGGGTGGGGAGGGAGGACCTGGGTTTTAAAGTCTACTGTACCACTTCCTACTTGTGCGATCAGCAAGCCACTTCCTTCTTTAAATCTCAGTTTTCCTGATAATAAAATGCGGATTTAAACAATATTAACATCCAGCACTTAATCTACCTCTCACAAATTATTTTCCCATTTAAAACATTTATCAAAGACCCATAAACTGCCAAGCAGAATTTCTGAACAGCATGTGATAGCCATGTTATCTTCTTCAGTTGATACAATTGCAGACAAAAGAAGCTTGATCCTTTATCAAAAGCAAGTACATGGTTTCCATTATCATTTGGACACACTGGAAACAATTTACCTGGACTCCCAACTTAGGAGTTAAGGCCCAAAGATTTCTTATGTGCTTTCCGGTAAAACCAGTCTCTACCCCTGACCCTCCCCATTCTTTCAGGCACCTCAATTCAGTTCAACAAATACGTATTTTTTTTAACAATTTATTTATTTTTATTTTTTAAAATTTTTTCCCATAATTTTATTGAGAGACAAATAGCAATGAGACAGTTTCAAATCAAATTGGTAGGACAGTTTCAATAATTAACACATTGCATACTCTCTTCCTAGTGGTTATTTGCTGTACAAGATGCAGACATGATATCCTATTTACAAACACTACTAGAACAAATCCCTCTATTCATTAAGAGAATGCAACTATCTATCTATCCTAACCATTTTGAATACACAGATACAAAATGGACATTCATCTGTATCCCCTTTTTTGTTAATTCCATCATTTGAATATTATAGGTGTGTTAACTCAGCAAAATATTCTAAAAGAGTCCAGTAGTCCATAATAGTATTGGGTCTTCCGCTTCACTGGCAATGTCAGAAATTGTTGACCTGAATCCCCTACAGCTCAACATAAAACCATGGCTTTACTTCTTATACTTCATTTTTATACTTTTCTGCTGGATGGCTAAGACCAAGATAAAGCAGGACCTATGCAACAAGAGTTGTAGCTTTTGGATCAGATAAGGTCAGTCAAATCCCCTCAGGATTTTTCATGAGATCCTGTGCCTCAGATTGTAGAACAAATACGTATTTAAATGCCTCTGGTCCATTGATTATACATATGACCTAGTGTCTGTGAGAAAATATCTTCTGCTTATTAAGTACCTATGTGATCTTGTTAAAAAACCACAATCTAAGAAGGTAGGTGTTGTCCCCTGGTAGGTGAAGAACTGATATTAAGAGAAGGGCCTGATTCTACCTAAGTCAGAAAGGTTTTAGGAAGCTGAACCAGGATTCAAACCAAGGACATTTGCCTCCAAACATCAAATCCCATTACCCCAAAAAAAGGAAGGAAGGAGAGAGACAATGAAGTAGTTAGGTGATGGAGAAGTAGTGAGAAAAGAAGCAGGAGTAAAACCTTCTGCTTAAGTATCCCTGGAGTGAAGGGTTAGGGAGTGAGGAGAGATGAGAGGTTTGGAAGGGCAGGTTCAGGAAAGGCAGGTGTAAGTTATTTATAGCTGCCTTTCAGGTACAGGAATGTGTGGCTGCTCCTGGCTATTTACCTTTCCAACCTACACAGGGAAGGCCTCCAAACTCATCCTCTTGAAATAGAAAATACATGCAGCCCCAAGCTAGCTGCACTAGGACCAGCTGGAGAGCCGCAGTCTGACCTCATTCCTGGAACTTAGAGCTTGTCTTGGGGAAACCCACGGAACCCACGAGGACAAGGACGTAAGATCTTGTTTCCCTTTCCTTTTGGGAGTTCAGTTTCTCGATTCCCATCTAGCAGGGCCCAGGAAGTGGAGGAAGTAGGTATCATCCTGTTTCTTAATCTGAGTACAAAAAGGAAATCAAGAACTGGGGGAAACCACAGCAGCTCCCTCGGTGAGCTTCCTTGGCCTGTGTGAAGTTTAACCACAGGAAGCTTTTTTAGACCATAAAACTTAAGCTAGAGTTTCACTGATTTCCTATGTGACTTCGGGCAAGTCCCTTGGTGGGGTCCTTGTATCCTAAACTGGAAAATGCAAGTAGGGATTCCAACCTGCAAATGCAGCCCATGTTTCCATGCTGTCCAAATCACCCAGTGAATCTATTGTATATTCAGATTCCCAGGCCTTTTTGCAAGCTGAAATCTAAATCTCCAAAAACAGAGTGTAGGTATCTGTGTTTGTGTGTGCACGTATCTATATATATGTACACCTATCTAGATAGATATGTTTGCATTGCCTCTCATGTGCATAGCAACTGCTCTGCTACTGAGCTACACCCCCAACCCAAGACAATCTGCATAAAGAGCTCCCCGAGGGAATCAATTGTGCAGCCACATTTGGTAACTGTGGAACAAGATGATCTATGACCTATAGTTAACCCTGAAACAGTTCTTCCATCTAACACAAAACTTCGCTCTGTGACCTTGGTCTGTCCGGGGCTCTCACTGGCCTTCAAAGATTTTTTTTTTCTGTCTGAAACATGAGGGGGTTAGACTAGAACAGCTGGTCTCCAAGGGCTTTGCCCACGCTGCCAAGTCTGTAAACTCATGAATGAAATTTTAAACTTTAGGTCACAAGGAGAGTGACGAACGTCCACTAACTGGGACAAACAGTCCTTCTGGGGGAGGAGAGGGAGTGCCTGGGATCACTTGGTCCCTTGCATCATTCCCACATCGGATGACTTCTCCTGGGGTCACTTTCTGATCCACCTCTAGAAGGGGTCCTTAGAAGTGTTCTCACATAGCTCCGTGTTCTTCAGAGCCCTGCTTGGAGTCAAATCCTGCCCCTACTACTGTCTTGCTGAGTGAATGACCTTGGGGAAGATAGATTTCTTTCTCTCCTATAACGTGGAAATCAGCAGAGCCCCCGTGTCATGAGCTGTCTTTACAGTTGTAAGACTACTGATAAGCAGTCTGAGCTATGTAAATAATTTCAGTATTATTGTTCTTGTTTCTTTCATTGTTGAAATGTGGGAGCACAAATACAGTAACTGAGCCTAAATTTATAGCAAGAATTGTCTCTGTGTGTGTGTGTGTGTGTGTGTGTGTGTGTGTGTGGCAGGGGGGGCTACCGGGAATTGAAAGAACGGTCTTGCACATGGTAGGCAAGCACTCTATTGCAGGCTGCATCTCCAAACCTCATTTATTTTTTTATTCATTTATATATTGTGGGCCCCCTCCCCCTCCCCCCTCTCCCTCCTCCTCCTCTACCTCCTCTTCCTCCTCTTCCTCCTCCTCCTCCTGGAGACAGGGTTTTGCTGTGCATGAACTCATTATGAAGTCCAAGCTGGCCTTCGACTTTTGGTAATCTTTCTGCCTCAGCCTCCTGAGTGCGGAGATTACAGGCATGGCCACCACACCTGGTGCCCTCCACTGAATTTTGGGATAGAACCTCACTAACTTCCCTGGCTGGCCTTGAACTTGAGATCCTTCTGCCTGTGCCTCCCAAGTAGCTGGGATGACAGGTGTGAGCCACCATCCCCAGCTGTGGCAAGGATCTTATTAGGTATCAGAGTATGTTGCATGGCACATAGTAGGAGCTCAGTGAACATGGTGCTTCTATTCCTAATCACATGCACACTTCCAAGAGTCCCCAGCTGCCTCTCTCTCTTCCTTCTTTTCTTAAGCTGCTTTGCTGCCCTGATTACATGTTTCCTTTCTGGGACTATTTTACTGAAACATTTCAACAGACACATGGATCAGGGACAGATTACACAACTCTGTGTTCACACTTTTTGGAAACTCCCTGTGGGAGGCTAGCGTTTGGCTTTCTGTTCTCCACATCAATGACCTTGCTGGACTCTGGCCAGTGAGTTCCTCTCTTAGAATGGAAACTAGAGAAAAAGAGCTTAATTGGCTGCCAGTTTTCCCCTCTAGACTGAGATCGCTTTGTTGTGCAGGCTGCTGGAAGGGCTGTGTGTGTATTTGAGGGAGAAAAGTTGCTGAGCACCTACTGTGTGCTAGACACTTATATTATCTTGTTTAAACCTTATTTAATTTTTAAAACAAAGCTGTGAGTTGTGGATACTATTGATATTCATACTTAGATGAGGAAGGGATACTGTTTACCCGAGTCCACACTGCAAGTGGGCGTGTAGAGTT